GGGGGGGTCACCAAATGAAAATAACAGGTAGCAGGTTTGAAACCAAAAGAAAAGGGAGTATTTCTTTATAACACGCACAGGCAACTTGTGGAACTCCTTGCCAGAGGATGTTGCGAAGACCAGGATTTTAACCGGGTTCAACAAAGAACTAGCTAAATCTATGGAGGATAGGTCTAGCAATACTTCTTAGCTAGCATGGGTAGGAATGGTGTCCCTGGCCTCTGTTTGTCAGAGGCGGGAAATGGGTGACAGTAGAGAGATCATGTGATGACTCCTTATTCTGTTTATTCCATCTGGCATTGGCCACTGTCGGCAGACAGGATACTGGGCTAGCTGGCTCTTTGGTCTGACCCAGTGTGGCCGTTCTTATGTTCAGAGGTGCCCAGCTCTTACCAGCATCTTTGTGGGCAGGCAGGCTCCACGGGTCCATGTTTGGCTGGGTGCGGTGTGAAAAGCTCTGGAAGCCAGGTTCTGAGGTGCCTGTCTCCACGTCTCTAGGAGGCTTAGGGCAGAATGCCTTGTGCGTGTGGGAGGGGGCCCACGGTGAGTGGTTTTGTGGCCACTGAACACGGCTCTACCAATATGAGAGCGCTGGGCCGTAGCTCTGGCAGGCAGGCTCCACGGGTCCATGTTTGGCTGGGTGCGGTGTGAAAAGCTCTGGAAGCCAGGTTCTGAGGTGCCTGTCTCCACGTCTCTAGGAGGCTTAGGGCAGAATGCCTTGTGCGTGTGGGAGGGGGCCCACGGTGAGTGGTTTTGTGGCCACTGAACACGGCTCTACCAATATGAGAGCGCTGGGCCGTAGCTCTTTAACGCTCCGCCTCAGCCCGTGGTGTCCCACACGCTAGAGACACGTGGCTGCGTGGCCGGGGGACTGAGGTGCCTGTCTCCACGTCTCTAGGAGGCTTAGGGCAGAATGCCTTGTGCGTGTGGGAGGGGGCCCACGGTGAGTGGTTTTGTGGCCACTGAACACGGCTCTACCAATATGAGAGCGCTGGGCCGTAGCTCTTTAACGCTCCGCCTCAGCCCGTGGTGTCCCACACGCTAGAGACACGTGGCTGCGTGGCCGGGGGAGGGTGGCG